TAGCTTTGCGCGAAATTAAAAAAAAAAAAAAACAAACAAAACAAATCTTTCAATGATTAAATATATATATATTTCTTTTCAACAAGCATTGGATATTTCACCCCAAAATAGCGTCCTCTATGACATTAAAATGAAAGCACAAATAATGTTATGTTAAACAACAAATTATTTCAGCAATCTTGTGGCTTTAAGGAAGTGCTGTATTACGTGTGCGAAGTATTATACATTTGAATTTAATATTAGTCAAATAAACGTTTTTAATTAAGTTTAAACATTAGTAATACTTTTCCCGATTTTTATTGCGTCGAACTTGAAGTTAATCTGCGTATGCTAGTATGGACGAAGAAAGAATGAAAAGACGTCTTCAAACAAACGTCGCAATAACTTGCATAAAGATATTTTTGGTCATTTATAACATAATATTTTGGGTGAGAATGAGATACTGAGATTGATTAACGTAAGAGTGATGAATGATATTACTATAAGTTATTAACAAATAAATAGTTGTTATACTGTTTGGCCTATTATGCAACACTTAGTATGATACTACACGATTACAATTATTATTATTATCAACTATTAGTATTATATAAGTTAAAATAATTTGTTATTGTAATAATTGATATTGTACAGTGTATAGTGCTACTACCACTACTCATACAACCAAATATCCTGATCTTCAAATTTGACATTTTGAGTACAAAGTTATATGACTTTTAGTTTTACCGTCATGAATTCAACTTCAAATTCTAGATGGTCTTTACTGTGATGTTAGACAGTTATTGACGTTTGGCATAATTTTTTGTTTGTAAATACTTCTCTTAAAAATTAATGATATAGTTTAAAATACTAAGTTTTGTTCCGTTTGTTAGACATTGTCACACATCACTGTCAGGAGACACCTCTACTCTAGAATAGTCTATTCTAGCACAACTAGAATGGTGGATAAGTTATTAACCTTATTATCATCATTAGTAGTAGTAGTACTAGTAAACTGATGAACAAAGTATTTTTAGAAAAATAGAAGAAAACTAGAAAATTGTTTTCTAAGGTGAGATACAGTTATAAATGTTTACAAGGAAGTTTTATGTAAAGTTACACTATGAAAAAGAGAGGCGGCTGATTTTCTCTGAGCCCAAATTTGTATTACTATCTTGAAGTACTGTTTTTGGCTTTGGACTTAACATTAGTGTGGATGTACAGTAGATGACTAATGTAACTGTAAGAAAAACTTGACATGATGTTTATGCTTAAGCTTAAAAAATTGTGTTTTAGTTGAAGTCCAATCACCCAAATTAAACATAGCTAGTAACACTGACCTACATAAAGACCTCTACTTTAACTAATGAATCACTTATAAAATTAATATCTCTTAGTGTAATAATTAATATTCAGAAAACCAATTTGGAGACCATGAGACATGTCATTAGTGAATTTAGATAATGAGTTAAAAAAGTAATGGACAGACTTGAGAAGTTTTTAAACATAAATTGCTTTTAATTTAAGATATGCATGTTCTCAAAACAAGGTAAAAGATAACAGGTAAGATAAAACATAATTGGCTTTCTTCAGATAAAAAGGAGAAAATCAGGGATAAATAACAAAGTTTAAGAAGTTTAAGTCAACAATTAGGGTGAAAGATTTGCAGAACTGTAGGAAAGCTATGGATTTTGCTAAAAAGAAGTTAAGAAATAAGAATGATGAGAAACATCTGGCTGATAATGTCAAAACTAACAGCAAAGATTTTTTAAAGAATATAATGAAGGTAAGCAAAATGTAAAAATGGGAATTGGACTTTTAAAGGATGCTGGTAATATTTGTGACCCTGAGCATCCCATGGAAAGTATTACAATTGACCTGAATGATGTAGATATTTAACCATTGGTGGTAAGTAGAATAACTGATAGTTAAGAATGGATAAAGTACCAGGACTAAACAAGGTTTTCCTCCAGGGTTTTAAAAAAAGATCAGTGATAGGATATGTAATTATCTTATTTCTGGTAGGTCAACAGACAGTGGACAGGTGCCTCAGAAATGCAGAGTTGCTAATGTTTTTCTTAGTTTTAAAGAGAAGAGGATAAGAGGTGGCCTGGAAACCATTATAAGTTAATCTTTCATCCATCTGATGAAACAGTGCAAGTATGAATGTATGAAAAGCATGCTTAATTATCTATATTCATTACTACTTTGATTTTTACTTTTGATCTAAGTTAGTAGTTTTCTCTGATCAGAAGTTACTATCAATTACTCTGTAATGAGAAACATTCCAGTGTCTGAAGAATGAAACTTTACATTTAGCAAAATTCACCATAAAAGAAAGCCAACATAGATTTACTTAAAGAAAATCTTGCTTTTCTAATATATTAATCTTCTTTGAGGTTGTTTCTTGTTACCTGGAAAAGGTGTAGACTTGGTATACATAGATTTTCAGAATGCTTTTGAAAGTACCACATGGAAGGTTATATGAGAATTAGTTAATAAAATCACATTGGTAGGGGTTGGGGAAAGAGTAGTTAATTGGATTGTTAGATGGTTGGATTACAGAAAGTCAAACTGGACCCTAGTCACTAGTGGAGTGTTTGGGCTTTGGCTTTTTTAAAAAAATTCACATTGTTAATATTAATAGCTGTATAATTAATAAATTAGAAAAGCTTGCCGTTGACATTAAAATCTTGAATATATTTAGCTATATGAATGCTCAAGCCAGACTCCCAAAACACAGGGAGAAGTCACTTCTCTCTCCAGGTGCTACCACGAAGAAGTTTTTGAAAGTAGAGAGACTTCACATTTTTGTACCAGATGCATTCATAACATGAAAACACCATTTAATAAAGGAAATGTTGTTTATTTAGTGGTTACTTGTTTCCATTACATGTATACATACATAATTATATATATAATGTGATTTTATGTGGAGGGAGAAAAAAAATGCAGCCACAAAACAAACATCCATCACCAGGGCACATTACATAATGACCCACCTCATGTGTTGTACCCTTATGTTGGATGTTTGTTTGTAGCTGTTTTTTTTTCTCTCTCTCTCTCTGTAAAAACTTAGTCAATTATATTTCATCTAAGGTTTGGATATGCTGTGTAAAATTCATGCTATCTTTCCATTTGATGTAATCTGTTTTATAAAACATTTTATAGCTTTCTCAAATAATTAGTATATATATATATATATATATATACACATGTGTGTGTGTGTTGACACATGCTATTTGAAGTATTAAATACCAATGGAATCTAAGAAAACCATTTTATTTGTTTTATTGTCTTAATTTAGAATAATATAAAACTATTTTATAAATTTACTGCATTTTTCTTTTTATTTGTTTAACTTGCATTTTGAATGCTGATCATTATTTATGGTCTTAGGATTGCTTTTTCCTGCATCTCTACAAATTGAGCAGTGCCAAAGTCTTTGATATCCTATATATACCAACTGAATTCATTCTGGTTTAAAACTTTGTAAAACTTTTTGGCTTTTTGTTCTCTGATATTTCATTGGCATTTTGTTTCTTGATGTGCTCAGATTTTGAAGGTTTTGTGCCTAAATAATTTGCTAGATACATTCCAAGCAAATAGAGAATACCATTATGGACAACAAGTATAAATTTGATTTGATTGCTTGCTTAAAATGCAATTATATCTCTAAATTAATGAGTAAAGGCACTTTTAAATGATATCGCTTTATGCACATATCTTGTGCTGGAAATGACACACCTTTCTTAATCAACATTAATACCTGTAATCCACCGATAATAAATAATACAGTTATGTCTATCAGTACAATACACAGTAAACTTTTCTCTTTGTTTTGACACAAATTTACAATAACAACCAATATGTTCATTGGTTTGACGTATTTTGTTGCAAAATCAGATTGAGCATGCTGATTGGCTTAAGACTATAATATGAAATAGGTAGCAACTAGTGTGACAAACAGAGTAGTCATAGATGATCTAGGAGTGAAGCCCACACCTCCATTTTTTATATTTTAATTTCATATTTAACAAAAAAAGCTTAAGTTGAGAAAGCAGTATGAGAGATCTGGAATTTTTAACCATCAATACCAAGTTGCTGTTTAGCACATCATTTTCTTGGAAGTGTTCCATAATGACTGCATTATATATCACAGGCCACGCTTGCTAGCTTAGCTTTTCTCCTAGGCCTGGGTTTGCATATATAAATATATATATAATATTCTATCAGTAATATTGCCTTAGGCCTATGATTAACTAACTTTTGTTTCAGAGCCAAATCAATAGAACCTATGTTTAGACCATTGATAAATCATATTTCATGACTAATAAAGTTCTAGAAGTCATTCATTTAGGCCTTTTAGATGGCTCTGCTTGCAATGAACTAATGAATTAATTAGGGTAAGGCTGGCTAAAAAATAAGATTAGCTATCTGAAGGTGTGACCTGCCACTACATGTATAGTTTTTATTGTTGTGTGTTTAGGTGATATACTGAACTTTTGTTTAAGTGTGGCTCTTGTTATCTGTTTTATAAGTACCTGCATTCACATGCAGTTTTGGTATTCTTTGTACCAGAAAAATAACATCAGCAAATAAGCTAATTTTAAGACAGCAGTAACTTTTAAGTGTACTATGTATTTCAGCTCACTGGAGTGGGAATTCTGGCAATAGGAGTGCTGCTGAAAGTATATGAAGACCATTATGCTCATTTGACAAAAGACTACAGTTCAGTGGCACCTTACGTCTTTATTGTCAGTGGAGTTGTGATTATTATAGTCAGCATCAGTGCTTGTTGTTGTACAGTCAAAAGTAAACCAGTCTTGCTGTATATGGTAAGTTTTATTGATCAGTTCATTATTCTGTTACAATTTTACACAGTATTGAACAAACAATTTGGTAAAAAAAGGATTTGAGTTTGGTTATACATATTCATCTTGAAGTAAAACCACCTTGAATTATAGTTTGTATATATAAACTATATATATATAAATTAAAATAATCAGCTAATTGAAATTAGTATTGCCAATTATTATTATCTTTGATTATTCCAATTAAGTCTCTCGAGAATGATCAATTAGTTAGATGTAATCAATTGATAAACTTTGCAATTAATCAGTTAGCAAATTCTACTTATTGTCAGGCTCTAACAGTATGCAGTCAGGAAATACAAGTATTATGTAGTCCATGCTTACAATGTAAATACATGTACGTGTAGTTGGTTAGATCTGTGCAAACTGGGGGCTCAATTATGACTTTTCTGTTATATCCCTGCAATTTTAATAAGTTTTTAAAATACATAAAAATATATAAATGTGCATTTTATTCATATAGTAAATGTCCATAATAAATTTCTAAATATATATTCATAAGCAGTGTATTAATATAATAAAAACTTACCATTTGTGAGGGTATAATGGAAAAGTACCATAGAAACATACAAGTTATATCTGAAAGTACAAATTTAAAAATAAAGACATTTTAGAAACTACCATACAAATATTTCTACTATTAAGTAATACAATAACAGCAATTAACATTGGAAAATGATATACAGTATATACATGAATAAGTTGTACTGGGTGGGTGGGGGCAATAAAATGTGTTTAGAGGAGGGTGCATAAAATAGTCTGTGCCCCACTGAATTAGACTATTATGTTTGTATTATAAACAATTTTTATGATTCAATATTTTATTCCAAACTCAGTTTCACTAATGATGATAATTATTGCAAAAAATAAACATTTTGATGTTTTAGCTAAGTATAACATAAGCTTAAATTGAAACAAAATTTGTAATGATCATTATACACTATGTGGAAATGTCACAATATTGAGGATGACTGGATAATTTACATTCAGTAATTATAAGTTATAATTTTGGGGAAACCTTCATCACAAGTAACTGTAGACTTCAGTTTTAGCATTTGATTTTATCCTTCAGGTGTGATTTTATTTTTATTATAGAACACAAATATAATGACATTTAGACCTTTCTAAGTCAGCATGCTTATAACCTAAAAAGTCAAACATCATTATATTAGTGTTCTGTAATAAAAAGTTTATATTACCCATATATGTCATTCATCTCTACAGTTTATTGATTTAAAGTTTTTGACAGTATCATCCTACAGAATTCAAATTGTGACATCTTTTTCAATTTTCAAGGTCTGAAGGAATCTTGTTTCTTTTGGTTTTATATACTTGATTAAATCTGGCTATGTATTTTCAGTATTCAAGAAACTGATATTCAAACCATGTTTAACGTATTTCCAATATAGTTGTAAGATTCTGGTTAATATTTGTGCCATTTACCATCCATGGCAATTTGTGTCACATTACTGATTATGGTGGAATAAATCATAAGCTGTAGTATGCCCAAGAAATTGTGATGAAAGTGGAAATTTATCCATGTTTGAAAGATTGAAAAAGTTTTGTACAATTTTGGCCAAAGCCATTGAATGAATACATCCTGGATATATTAGATCACTAAAACTGATTGTTTAAATAGCACATATAATGTTTCCATAATGTAGTACAAAACCTGTTACAAGTTGAAAGTACAATTAATACTGATCCATGGATTTCTCCCTACAAATTTTTAAAGACTTGTATACTACAACTAAATAAAATTATTCTATATTAAAAATAGCTGTTTTTAGATTTCATATGATAAAAGTAATGAAGATGTTTGTTACAATTGTGTGATAGATAACATACAATTCAGTGAAAATAACTTCACTTTGATCCTAGAAAAACAGATAATAAAATATGTACTATTTCATAAGAAAACTATGATGATACTAGATGTCTTCTGTTGAAATGAAAATGATTCAAAATGTGGAAATCAAAGTTTTGTAAGAAATATTAAAATCACCTTGATACCACAAAACATTCAATTACCAACAATTTGGATTTTTTTTTTTCTAATTCTATCATTGGCATGACAACTTAAAATAATTAACATCATTATAAGAATAAAAATATCATATACTTTTAAGCCAAAAACTGTTATGTGGATGGAAGCTTAGAAAGAACATATCAAAATGATTAATACTTTTTCATTGTATAGTATAAGGTTGAATAAACTGTAGAAATTTGTGCTTGCTGAAAAATCAATAAATCATACTACTTAAAGCCTATTGCACTAGGTAGGTTGTGTTTAACCCTTTAGGTGCATACTTCTTTTTCAGTCATATCACACTCAAAATCACTGTCAGATAATTCAGATTGAGAGCCAAAATCATCATCAGCTTGTAAAGGTTCAGTTGTTTCTTCATGTGTGAAAACACTGGAGCAGTTTGGTGCCATTTTGGGTCTATTTTCTCATAAAAATTATTAAACAATTTTCACCTGCAAATATTACCATGTTTTGAACAGCAACATATGTCATGTTTGATATGAATCAGTGGCTGAGGTTTTCATCTATGTAGATTAGGCTTTGTATATTGATTTTGTGCACTAGATTTGCATTTCTAGTTGTACATTCGAACTGTATTTTATGGTGAGCATATGGCAGTTGGTGCACCTAAAGTGTTAAGAGTCATATGAAAACAGTTATATTTTGATTTTCCTTTTCCGTTCTTCCTATATAAATAGAGCTAGTTGTAATTAAACAGGAGTCCTTTGCATGTAAATATGTTAAAAACTTAACAGTGTCTTATATTATTACTGTTATTAGTCCAGATAAAGTAATTTGTGACAAACACAGTTAAATGATTAAGTTATTCAGCAATGAAAATTTTTTTAGTGATTAAAGAATAATGAACATTAGCTTCTTTTTTTTTAATCAAAGCAATCTTACCCTGAGTAAAACTGTTTATGTTTGTAGCTTATAAAAAGTAAGCAATATATTAAATTAAAGCTACACTATCATTTAGTACAAACAGGATAAATAAAAACAACAGGCATCACTGTGGCTAGTTATGTAACAAACAACCACTAACCCACAACCTTATATTTGTGAGTTGTATACATAATGTTGCAGACGGCCACAGCAGTGGAAGTGGCACTAGCTATCATGTTATGTGGGAGTTCAGTTGGTATGTATCTGAAGCTGAACAATTTTACATTAGTGGCAAAGATATTAAGATATTTGGATGTGACAGTCAATCCTGTTCATTGGTGAAGAGTAGCTTAAAAATCAGTAGTGAGTTCTGCTGGGCAGTTGCCTTCCCTCTGGTTGGCACCTCAAAATTAGTGAAAGTGGCAAATAGCCTAAGTAGATTTGTCATAACTCATAAGTCATATTTTATTGGGTAGTGTGTGTTAACACTAAAATTGCCATACTGCCATCATTTTGACTGCTATGTATTACAACGTCAGTATTAAAATGAAAGACAAATTATTGGATACATCTCAAAAGTTTTATTTTGGAACCTCAAATCAATTGTAATTACAGCTGAAACACCATATTAAAATGGACAATTGTGCAAAAAACAAACAAAAAAGTTCAGTAATTTAAATACTATAATAAAATAAACATATCAAAAGAAACAAATTAGTAAGCAGGTATAAATAGCTATATTTACATGAAAAACTTTATATACAAATTAATAGGTAAATTATTCTAAACAGTATTTTCATATGAAAATTATGTGATTCCCATTATAAACTAGCCTAAGTGGCACAATACACACAGATGAAACACTTTTTAACTTTTGCTGTGCATTTATCACACACAAGTCTTTCACATAGAACACATTTATCTGAAGTTTTGTCTTTAATTCGTTTAGCTACCTGGCATTGTTTTTTTTTATGTGTTTCACTGGATTCAGCTTGAGATGCTTGGTTCTTAGCAGTTTTTTGAAATGTGATTTTGTTGGAGCTCTGAGGATACCTTCAAGATGAAGTCCCTCCTACTTATATTTTCTCCAGTGCATTCCTTATACAAAATAAATGATGGCTGTCTGGACATTATAAAATACACCACTATGAATCAGTTTTTACTGAATACTGACATGCCTTCTGGTCCAACATCCACTTCATACTTTATATAGTTGTAGAAAAGCATGATCTCTGATTTTTTTCTTCTCAGTAGTGTCACTGCCAACTGACATGTGAAGATAGCTGAAAATACAGACATTTTTCCTTGGGTTGTACTTGTAAACAGTCAACATAGCAAAGTCACTGTGTTTCAACTTTGTACTGGTATACAGCTCTGGTTGTGAGTTTAGTGCAGATGGTGAAAGCACTCATCTTCATTTGTTCACTGTTCCAACAAGGCCATTTTTTGGTTGTTTTTTTTCTGCAACTCTTTAGCCAATTCAAGTGAAGTAAAAACTTGTCTGTAGCCACATTCCTTTTTCTAAGTACAGTGCCATCAGCTTGAGTACCACACTGTCTGCCAATCTCTAACCAGATGGGTGAGTTTCATTTTTGCCCAGGTAGGAGAAATTGTTGATTATGTATTTTGAAGCTATGCCTACTGCCACCAAAAATTTTATTCCAAATTTGTCTGGTTTGTTTAGTATGTATCGTGTCCAGCAACACCATGCTTTTGTGAGAAATGGTTGCTTGTCCACAGTAATGCTCTTTCCTGGCTTGTAACAAACATTCCGGTTTCAATGAAGCCATTTCAAATTTCCAATGCCAGGGCAAGTTTGTCTGTTTGTAGTTGAGCACTTCTCATTTCTCTCAAGTCAAAAATCTCAGTATTTCTCATTCAAATCCTTGACATTGTCTGTAACAAAAAAAGGAATTATCCATTGATCAGACCAAAAGCTTTCCCGGTACATGCTTTTGCTGCCCTAGTCCCCATGAATATATAGCTGTTCAATAAACACTTGTAATTCCATCAAAGATAATTTCTAGGAATAATTGTTTTGCACCCTATGTGCCTCTGTTTCCAGGATTTAGTGTAGCATTCACATATCAGTCAATAGTGAAAAGCACTAAGAGGGCTATTAATGTTGTATTTTGCATACTATGTGGGAAATGGAGTTTCTGTCAAAATATTTTGTGCAGCTTGTCTTCCTACAGCCCCAACACCTGGATTCATTATTTCCTAAATTGTTCCATCCTTCTCAATCTGCTGTATGGAATTGCTGTGGTTGGCACTGTGGATGATTATCCAGAAATGATGCTTCTGCTATGATCTCTTTTGCATCTAGAGAAATGTTTTGTTGGTAGTAGCACTTTCCTTACTTTCACATGTAAAACTGTCTGTTTCACAAATCCAGGACTCGTTGCTTTTGTGAGTGTATACATTCCCATCATCAGAATAATTTTCTGACAAAGTTGTAAACATCTCTGTTACTTGTTGAGTGCACATTCATTTTCTTTGAGCCATTTTTGAATCTGTCAGTTTCTTTGTTACTATGTATATATATACTCAAACCTTTGACAAGCAAACACCACTTCTCACGGGAATTGATAGAATTATAGGTTCACAATATTAAGATATACTCAAGTTGACAGACAAACTATGCTAAAGTTCATTCACGTCAGCTGGCAGCCATCTGTTCTTTGAGACTTAAAGGGCCGAAATATAATCAAATACTAATGCAATCAAAGAGTTGGGAGTTCAGTTGGAGATAGAAATAACAACAGGCATCTGTACTGAAACTGCAGCTACTTGCAGTACAAAAAACCAAATTGTATGTTGGTTTAAATAGAAGCATGTATTGTAAACAGCAGTCAAATTGTTGGGTCTTTGACATTTCTAGGCAGAAGTTATTATAAGTTTTTAATTTTTCAATTCTGCCTTTGAAACCCTGTCATAGTATTTAATACATGGATTTAAGAAAAGTCATGAACAGACAATAGCATATTTTTTCATACATGAAAATATATTTAAATTTTAAAAGTGAAAAGCGAAGAAAAAAACCATGATAGTTTAATTCAGAAATAAAATTTGTTTGAATTCTTTTGTTTATTTTGTTGCATCATGGTTTTTGTTCTTGACTGTAGTTTTCAGTATCAAGATTGCTGTACCTTTTCTAATTCTGTGACAGCACTTCAAATTAGTGGTAACTCAACATAAAGTCTACCAGAAACTTTTCATATAGTTCTGATTTTTTTATTCTGGAAGGCTAACTTTACCTCTGTAATTGATGATCTGAATCCTAGCTTTGTGTTACGTATCTTGAATTAAGTATTGCATGTTGCTTAGCCACTTCTTCCTTGGGAAACTGTCAACAACAACATTTTAATATGATCAGATAACACTTCTGGTGAAATTAATTTGATAAATAAGTATCATAGGCAAACATTCCCAGTTTGCCCCTGAAGAAGAAAGGTCCACCTTTCTAAAGTGCTTGGGTTACAGGGTTTTTATTTATTTCTATCAAGACTTTTTGAACCTATGTGTTTTTCTAACATCATGAATAAATAAGTATCATGTGCCCATATTCAGTTGTTAAACTTCAGATCCATTTATTACAGATTAGTACTATTACAAAAATTAATTTCTTCATGTTCATTCAGTTTGGAACTTTAAAACTATTGCACAGATTGAAAATATATGCCAACATTATAAATTTGTTAAACTGTTGATGATGAGAAAACTTATCCACATATCTGTATTGTAGTTTTACAGATATTTGAAGTTTGAGTGATGTTATCTTGTTACCTGCTTAGGTAGCTTAATATATTCATATATTAAATTGAAAAAAGGTTGTTGTAATTTCACAACTATTAAATATGCTCATATTCAAGTTGTACAGATAGCATAGTAGTCTGATTTTTTTTTGAAATAATAAAGTTCAAAGATGTTTTTTTTTTTATAGTTCCATTCTCTTCTCGCATCAGAACGAGAACAATGCTTACATACATTGTTATACACTTGATAACTATTTTTGTTGAAAGGTTAACCTACCCATTCTAATTGCAACCCCTCACTCACTATTAATGGTTGGCTTTTTGGTCTTGTATATTTAAATTTATTCACAACACATTTACTTTGTTTTTGTTCTAGTTCTCTAATATTTCCTACTCTGTTTACATGCTTATATAGCTGAAAGATAACACTTTCCAGAATGTTCTTGTTCAAGAAATACTGAGAACTTTAGATACACTATTGTAAAATATGGTAGTATCACAAAAAATAATTACACAAATTTATTTTCTTTTTAGCTCTCAACTTTCCTCTTCTTCATTTTTGTGGTGGAATTAGGTCTTGCTATTTCAGCCTACATGTTTCGTCAGAAGATTCAGAACCAATTTAAAGACAATATGAAGAATATGTTGAAGGATTATAGAGGTAGCAAAAAGGGCATAGACATGGATCTTGATTTGTTACAGTCAACTGTAAGTGTTTTCAGCATCTTTAATTTTCTGAAAGTTAATAGATAACAAATATGTATGTAATTGCTGAACTTCTGTGTAGAACCTTTTTTTAATGTTGTTAAGAATTTGGAAATTCTAAAAAAATATATACTGCATAATACTTCTGTTTGTTTCACCAGTTATTTTTTTCTTTTTAGATTCATTGCTGTGGAGTGGACAATTACACTGATTGGTTCGAAAGTTCATGGGCAGGTGGAGAAAAGGCTGTACCAAAAAGCTGTTGTAAGAATGTTCAAGAATGTACCAACAAACCTTTGATTAATGTAGACCAGATTTACCAAAATGTAAGCATAACATAATGTACACTCCACTGAAGAAACAGAAAGGTTTCTACACAATAACAGTGTTCTCAGTTAGCATTATAAAACTTTGAACTTAATTTTGGTAAACACAAGATACAAGTTTGATACTTAACTCTTTCAGCATGGGCTCGGTCCCTGGGACCAACCTCATAACCATTTTGTGCTTGTTATAGTTTTCATGCTATAACTTTTAAATTAATAAGCGAATGTTAACAAAATTTGGCACATTATCAGTAAACATTACAATGCTTTCATACACAAAATATAAAATTTTGTTTATTGTCTTAAGGTTTGTAAAGCAATTTTTTTCTCATGCCTGTTATTTCTTTTTGCATGTTGCCTATCTAACATGCAAAGTAATTTTCATTTTAAGATTAAAAATACTTTTATGCATCAGAAAATTTTCAAATTTCACATGCAAAATCTTTATAATGTCCAGATAGTTATCAAATATTTCTTGAAAAAAAAACTTAGGAAATATAAATTATGCCTCTTTCAATTTAGAATGAACATAAATTATAACTAGTATTTTGTAAAATACAGTCACATTTGAATTATTATACATTATATATGTATATAGATTATTGCTATTTTGAAATAAGTTTAAACTTATTTTTCTTAAAACATAGAACAGTAAATAAAGAAGTAAAGCAAACAATTATCTCTTCTAGTTATGATCTTTGTACTCGCTGCTTGATGTAGGTTGCTAAGCCTTTAAAAATGTTGCCTTTAAGTACTTTTTTAGGTTTTATATATACAGTTGAATAACTAAAAAATTACTACATCAATACCATAGAATTCCACTATAATGTATCAAGCTTAGTAACTAAGAATTATTTTAGTCTAAAAAAAATATGAAATTTAGAGCAGACTAAAGTCACACCCTACCCCATTGACATATTGGTTCCAATGGCTGAGAAAGCCACTAGGGAGACATTCTGAGCTTCCGAATGGTTATTCATGTCATATATAGAAGTATTTCCTTGAAATATTGGTTCAAAAGCAAGATATGGCATCCAAGCACGTTAAAATAGCTGAGAAAGCCACTAGGGGGACATTCTGAGCTTCTGATTGGTTATTCATGTCATATATAGAAGTAAGTGTATATATATAAGGGAGCATTTCCAAAAATGTAAAGAGGTGGGCGAGGTGCCACTGTGTTCGAGTCATTACATGAGCAATATCTTAGCAAGTAGAAAAGATAAGACGTTCTTATTTTTTATTCTAGCTTGTTAATATCAGTAATTTCAGTTTCTAATTCGTACGAAACTATAGACTTAGTATTTTGACTTCACAAGCACCTAATTTGAACCAGTGCTGTATTCAACATATCATGTGACACGAAAATTGATGTTTATCTGTGTTTTTTAATATTTATTTTTAAACTAAGAAATTGAGTAATATATAGTATTAAAATCTGAATTATAATCTACAGTTTGATACCAAACTTATGGAATTCATGAAATAGTAGTTCAGTAAAATTTTGAATGTGAGTCAACAATGAGATGACATGGCCTTTCACCCGTGATCCGTCTCGAAAGGGTTAATGCAGATGTGTGAAGTGCTAGGTTTATGTAGAAATATGTTAACTAACATATGACACTTCCACTCATGTTTAAGAAGAGATACCCAATAGCAGTATTTCACAATGTGTAAGATATAATTAGATTTGGTTCTAGATAGTTCCTAATGCTAACTGAATGAAATCAGTAATGTAGGATAAAATTAAAAATTTTAAAATACAAAATCTAAATTACCCTTTTTACCTATAGAATTGCTGTATATTATAACATACAATTACTTTATTCTTACAGCCAAAGCCAATGGATTTCTCAAATCATGGTTATATAGTTTTTTTGCATTACAACTGTATAAAGACTTTCTCAGAGTACACCAAAAGCCATTTATCATAGCTTTTCAGCTTTATGTAAACAAATGATTGAGTTACAAGGACCCTGCAACCAAATTATAATCATACCATGTGATGGGTGCCTACTAGGATATTGAGTATTACAAGAAATTTTATTCAATGTTTTTTTCTCATTTAAATTTTCATACCTAACCTAAAAGTTTCTAATTTTTACACTTTAGTTGCTTTTGTAGCAATAAGTAAACATAGATAAAAAACAAGAAATTTAGTAGTTACATCTGAACTTTGGTCTTTTGCCATCATTGGACCAAGCTCTGTAAGCATACTTTTTGTAATGATGGTGGTGGTCCAAAACATTTAAATTTTTATTCCAAATATTGAAATTAGAACACAAAAATAGAATATCCTAAAGCTACTATAATTCTAACACGACACATACCGCCTCTCACACAATAACTTTTCTCGATCTTCCACTGCCTTTAAATGCATTGTAAAGAAATTTTCTCGCTCGATGCACTAGCCTTTATACACCAGTTCAAGCTGCTCATTTAGCATGTGAGAACCCTCCACCAATAGAAGCATGACACACACTCCTAGAGCAGATAGCTCCCTCTATACTACTTCACATGAACTTCACTTTCTCATTTGGCACAATATGAGTCATACATGTTTCTCACTTGCTCTCAGCTTTCAATAATTTTTTTTGACTTAGTTCATATTTTTTTACTTATTTTTTAAAAAGTTTGATATTTCTTGCATTCTGGTGTGTTACAGACTTTCATTTTGATTGTCGTACAAATTCCTGGGAATTATATAAATTTGTGACTTACCGTGATTACTATCATGGCTCCTGAAATTTCTGGGAATAGACAAACTCCTGTTACCCAGGAGATCATGTAATGTAGATTTGACTTTCTTGTTTATATATCAGTAAAGCAACAAGCTTAGAGACTTTAATTTTACATTATGGCTTAGCAGTATCAATGTATAAGTGCGTAATTGGTGGCACACTCAAAAGATCATGTAGAGATTGAAAGAAAATTTAAAATGGGCATTTGGAGGAAAGAAGCAGAGAAGTGAAGATTGAGAACTTATATGAATATTTCCTTTTAAAATTTAGAATTATGTAATATTAAAATTTGAATTGCAAATTATATGCCAAGTGTATTGGTATACCTTGATAATAAAGTTGCTTAATTGAATTTTGAATGTAAGTGTAAAATATTTTTGAATTATGCACTTTTTTCCTATGGGATTAAATCACTTTGAATTTGGTGTTTCTTGCTCAAGACTCAATGTTAATAAGTTAACTCTATAAACCTGTTCAGATTCATGTGAAAAATAAGTTTATATAAGTATGATTGTAGATAAATATATCTGTTCTAATACATCAAGAATAGGTCTAAGCCTAACAAAAAGTAGTTAGTATCTCAACCATGTGGTTCATGATACCCCACTCATATTTTTCATAGTATGATATAAAACTATACTTGCTCACATTTGAATAAGTATCTTGTCTTTGATGTCTTCTTATGTAATGACCTCTGTAGGGCTGCAGCAATATAATAATTGGTGTGACCAAGAAGTATGCAAATGTCATTCTTGGTGTTTCTGGAGGATTTGCTTTGTTTCAGGTTAGTCTTTTAGAATAGTAAAAACAAGTACTTGTTTCTCGTAGTCGCTTGTGAACATGTGTATCAAATATATTGATATTGCTATACTGGTTGACAGTCACTTCATTTGGATAAAAATTGTGAGTACTCTGTTGTTTATATTTGTGGACTTTTGTTTTAATTGGGGTTAAAAAGTGGCATTTATTCTGTAACATACATTTCATGGTATTATTAACAAAGAGAAGTAAAATCTTATGACAATATTTTTATAGCATCATTTAATTTTTTTGAAAGAGTATTAAGTATGACCTGTGAAAAATGGTTCCTCTTTTAATGAAAAGTGCTTGTGATAAAAATGGATGTTCTTAATGCTACTCTGATAGAACTGTTTTTCTTAATTCATACAAATTCATGATTTTTTTCTTTCTTTCTTCAGCTTCTAGGTACATTGATGAGCTTTACCCTTGGCAAAATTATTAGCAAAAATCAGTATGAGCTGCTCACTTGAAGAGGATTTTGAATCACTCTTTCATGTGGATAGAGAAAGACTTGTAATGAATGATCAGCTAGGTATGAATTAACATTATTATTATATAAAATTATCTATTTCCATTGAATTCTATCACAGTTTTGATTTTAGTTAGAGGGGGAGAGTGTAAAAAAGTAACAGTAGTGTAGTTTTTAAGAAATCTAAAGTATCAAAATATGTTCAGCTAATCCTGTTCAAGTATGCTCAACATATTATGCACACGTTGCTTGTCTAACACAGTGTTGACTATGTGAAAAGTAACAGTGAAACTCCTACCAAGCTAAATATTTAGCTAATGCATTTAACTGATTGATATTTTAAGACTTTTTTGTATAATCATATAATTCCTCTCCTTTTTACATTTACAGCATAACATACCTTTATAGAAATTTTAAAGTTGGTATAATAGAAGTAAAAGCCTAACAGTAAGAGAACACAAACATATAAACAACAGTTTTCAACTATATATATACACACGTTCCACTAAAACAGTGTATAGGGGTAGAATGTAATGTTAACAATCTTGGATTCCACTCAATTCAGAATCTTTGTCTACATAGAAGCTTATACAATACTCTTAGAGTCTACAAAGATACTTTTATATCTCAAAGGTTCTGCAAAATAAATATGTAAAAAATTAAAAGTGTAAGCCAATCTAACTATGAAATAGCAAAATGTAATGATGATGATGAGGTTACTTATTTCTAATAGATACTGTTTTGTTAAATATTTTCAACTTCCAAAGTCACACAACCTAAAAACATTAGTATGACCATATCTCAAAAACAATTTACACTAAACTATTTTGAGAAAATACATTACATAAGAGATAATCTACAAACAAACGAGTTTCAAAGTACTCTGGTTATTACTTTTTCACACCACATTGCCACTGCCAGTAAGTAAAAGAATACATAACAATATTATGGTCCAGTAGTGCTTATTACTGTATTTTCTTTTACATGAATGACATTACAGCTGTTTTTCAAAAACCAATGAGAGAGCAATTTTAGAGCTCAAACCTGCAGAACAAACAAAATTTTTAAATAATGAGTTCATTCTATTCTGTTCTTCTGTCAAAGGGGTGTCACTCCTATGTGTAAGTTGATTACAGTAAATACACATATGAAAAGTTAGATTCCTATGATGGGCTAGCTCTTTTGTATTACTTTCATTATGATTTGATATGTACTTAATTAAAACCTAGCTTTAACAGCTGATGCACAAGATAAGTATTTAAATATTTCAGCAGTCTTTGTGCTTCATGGTGTGAAGGGCAAGGCCAAAATATGTTCATTTTCAGGACATCAAAGCAAATTATCAAGCCTTCTACTGTACTGGCAATTATGTTGAAGTATCCTGCTGCTGTGGCTGGATTTTACTCTTCTGATGGAATTCCCTCTGAAACATTTCTTAAGAGGTCCTCCATCATAATTAAATCAAGACTGAGATGCCAGTCTCCTAAAGTCCTTTTAATAACTATAAACTATTTTTCAGCCTATGCAGTGGCTACTGGACACTCCATTATTATTTGAACAAGGTGCAGCACATTTCTTCACTCTTCTCAAACAATACATACCTCCATGATGAAGCATTGAAGCTTGTGTTATGGTAATTCGTGAAGAGGTTTAGCTTTAGCCTACTCCACTTTAACTCTACTACTGCTTAGTTACATTGTTTTTGTTTTAGAAAAGTTTTCAAATGTTCAGTAAGAATGTTTTATCTTATTGTTCCTATACTCTGCAAATTTGCCCTAATTAATGGGTTGGTTAGCAGGGTCAAAAAATGTTATATTCACTAAATTACCTAAATCTTTTTCAATGCAAGTTTCAATTTTTTTTTAGCGTGTTTTCAAAGTTACCTTAAAAACTCCTGATGTCACCCTCATTAATGACAGAAGACTTTTAATATTGTTATCAATTGCTGCTAGAGCCTTTCTTAGTTAGATTATCCATCTTGAGTCATGTGATTAGATATGCTTTTTAGATGATCATCTGAATGTTTAATAAAATCCTACATCATTAGCTTATCTATCATTAATATAATAAGCGAATAAAATTATTTTGTCAGATTTTTATATGTATGGGCTGGATTCTTCACATTAGGTGTCTGTGACTTGTTGGCAATAAATTTTAACAATAAAAAAACAGCACACAGTCCACTTGTTTTAAAATGATATACTAAAAGAGGCAACTATATATGCAAATGTTCAATACTCTGTTGGTTATCACAATTGTATGCAGAGCATTAAATAATTTTTTTCGTCAAAGTCCACAAAGGCTGGTTTTCTTACTTTAGAACACAATTTGACAGGATAGATTATTTTTCCTGCTCTGTTACTACAATAAAATCTGTGATAATTGCACTTTAAAAATCACTACTATAACTGTTAGTTACTACGTTTGTATCCAGAGCTTTAAATGATTCTCTCTTTTTTTGTCAAAGTCAACACAGGCTAATTCAGTTACAATAGAACACAATTGACAAGACAAATTATTTTTCTGTACTCTGTTACTACAATACAGTCTGTGTAATTTCACTTTAAGAAAGCCACTATACGCTTTTTATGGCTAAACTCACAATCACTCAGTATAGATCTATATCTATATAACTAACTATATCAAACTACATTTTGGATGCATATTTATAGCCCAATCAAAGCCTAGAATGTTCCACACACTGCAAGATATTATGATGTAATAATACTCAATTAAAACAATAAAAAAACTCAGAAGGTTCTAGTAACCTGACATAATACCATATTTGCTGGTGTATAAGACTGTTCCATGTATAAGATAACCCTGGATTATTTTAGCAAATTAAGTGTATGTCTTTGAGGTTCAGTGTATAGGATGACCTCTATTGTCAATGAAGTCAAGGTATTACTTTTGTAAAGATATTCATAGAATATATTTTTAAACTGTGCTAACCTGCGTTCTTGGGTAGTCAATACAACTACAAGTGTGGTTTTTATGCTCTTCAAACGCTACATACAGCTCAGTGTGGCATATCTTTTAAATCACAAACATATAATAAACAACTTTACAAAGTTTTTATCACAGTTGAACTCCTTTTCCATTACTAGAAAATACTAAACTTTAAGATATAGTTATCTACTATAAAAAAAACATGTATACAAAATTAGTGTACATTACAGAAACTAACTTTTTGATATAATATTAGTAATATATTAGTATGACAAATGATATCAATACATTTCAAATAAAAAATGCCTTAATTGTAACTAACATGTGAGATAAATAACTTGTTGTTATGAAGAATCAAGACAAATGATACAGTTATGGTAATGCAGTAGGTGGTACGATGTCAATGCACTTACTTAAAAAAGCAAACAAAAGTAAAAGGAACGACAATATTTTGGTTAAATATGCTGTTGACCGGAGAGTTCTACTGGAACTCTATCTTTGAACCTGTGTCTAAGATGAGAGGTAAAATCAGGAATAGTTTTAAGAGTAGAAATTAACATCTTATTCACTGGCAAAGACAGTATTACAACAATTGAACTACACAGCAGATGATTTGAAAACAGTTATGCAAACAAACGTGACAGACTATTGGTTTTAAAAATAATTAAATTGAACATTCAAGCTATATAAACTAAATCATTACACTCGCATTAAACTTAGACTGAAAATGTTGTGTGTATCTAACACATTCATTCACATTGTCTTGACATACTAATATATCTCAACAGGTCATGCACCAGACATTTATAACAGAGTTGTCATCTTAATTTTTTTTTTTCAAACTGCAACCATTCATATCCCCTGCCTGAACATTTTGCAGCTTTGCAGTTCTTTTGGTAAAATGTACAATAATTTTTGGTTCTTGTGTCCAGTCCTTGAAGTTAGGATGTAACCCCCCCCCCCCCCAAATGCAGCTATAAGTGGTATCAATCAGAATAATACCATGACAAATTTGCTGTGATATATTTTAAAGATATTCTTCCACATAAAGGCAACCTGTAATACATGAGCAAGGTATAAGGCAAGCATCCTCACCAAGGTAAGAAAGGAAAAACTTGCATTAGGTTTTGTACTGAATAAATATTTCTGGTGAAGTTATAATATTACAGGCAGCTTTTCAAGTTAACCTCGGGAATCAGCTTTCTAACATTCCACCCATATGATACTCAACTTTCCTGGCAAGTCAAAATTAAAACAAAGCTTGTATTGTTGAATGCTAGTAAAAATCAGTGAAATAACTTTGTTTTTAAACATTGAGGTTCCTCATTTTTCAAATAACTAAACATAACTCAGTTTTTCTATTTGCTCTCTAAAAAGTAGTATCTCAAATATATCAAACTATTGTAAGTTTAAAGTAATGAATGTGACTGTCTTCTCCAATACTAGAACAAACAATAAAATCCAAAGTGCAACCCACTCACTCTACATGTGGATTTTGTAGAGTGTTTGTTCTGGTTTTGAATCATTGTTTTGTAAATTTAACTGATAACATATAAAAGCTACTAGCCAGAGAATTATCAATCTTTTTTTTTTTAGTAAATAGTTTGTTGATAAAAGAAGGGCACAGAATAATCACTCAGAAATATCTGGATAGATAGGTCTTTGTTTTCAAAACTGTAGTATAAACTTTTTCAAATTTGATGTTTTCCTGGTTTTTTGACAGCAATTCATTAAATTTGTTTGTAACTGAAATTTCAAATTAGGCAACATGAGGTGATTATAAGATACTTAACAGGAACTTTATTTATTTTTGTATAAAATCTTAATCTTTTATGTTATTCACAGGGAAAATTCAGAATTTTTTTCCCTTATGATTGTTTCTTATCCTTTCTTTCTGTTATACTTTACGCTTTTCATAAAATGCCATAGTGTAGTGTTTCCATATGCCATTGCTAATTTTAAGGACTGGTTGTCTTAGTAAGATCTGTTTTTCTAATCACACCTGGTACTAGGACCTGCATTTTGATGCAAAAAAAAAGTACCTGAATTACTATTTAGGTGTAAATTACAAGACTTATAAGACATGTCAGTGAAATTAAAACAGTGATGAACAAGATAATAATCTCATTTAAAAACTAAACTGGTTTTCCTAAGAATGATAAGATAAGTCCACAGGATAATGGGATATTCAAACATGGTATTTATTACAGAGTATTTCTGAGTTCATAAAAAGGAAATATAGATTGAACACAATTGGAAGTACAGTGAACAATATTTATTATTTACAACACAAACACTGTGTACTCGCTTTGGATGCTGGACAGTCACTTTTATTGGATCTGAGCTGTTCTCTTTTCAAACTACACTCTGATAACTTCTATTAGACTGACAAAACCTAATGTTACTAATGAATTGGGTAATGTCAACTGATTATAACTCTCAATCACAATTACACATTATATGGAATCAGTATTAAGCTTATGCTAACCACAAATCTAGTGATGGATACACATTTATAATTTCTACTAGAACTTCAATGGAAGTCATATAGAGTATCATGGAATCCTAACCACCTTCATGTATTGAGAGTTGAGATTATTACATCATTTGTAAATTTTGTTTGTGTGAAAATGGCTACACAAGTTAACTATATATTGTTACAAATTATTATCTGGGCAGACTGTGCATAAATTTGATTATCAAAATTAATAAAGAAATTCTTGAAATATAATGAGATTCTTTAAAAAATTCTAGTACAAAGTACGGAAGATTACTTGATATACTACTTCTAAATAATTTAAAAAGTATGAAAGCACAAAGACTACCACATATATTAAGAGATAGGTACTGAATGTGTAATTGAAAATAATAAATCTCATTAATGCTATTTGATTAACCATTTGACTCTGGTTGCTTTAAACGTGTGTGGAATGTTTGCAAGCCATACACTATATACAGCACACTCACATTCAACTGCTAGAAGCAGACCATACCCTATATGACGATTCGTTAGTCAATGGGTTAATGTCTTAGATAAACCATTCACGTTCACTAAGATAAGTTAGTGCACCTTGATTTACTATAACTGTTTATCAAAGGTAATCTGCTGTATTGCTTCAAAATATGAATTAATGTTCAGTGTGTGTCATAGAGCACGGACAGACTGGCCATAATAACATTTTGTGCAATCACATGTCTGGTCTGGCAGACTATTAATGTACAATGAAAATAAAATTATTAGTTATTCCAGTATAAAGTTCTGATTTTTAAGCTCTGCATACTGTTGTTACTTAACTGTGATTAAGTCTTGACCCCTCCTCAAGAGGCTAGGGCCAGTGCAATAGCCAAATCACCAGGCTGCTGCACATACCCCCACCCTCTCAGTCTGCCCCTGTAGCAGTGTAAATAGTCAGTAAATACAATTAACACCCACTTTTTATAATAACATTGCATTTAATGAATAGTGTTATACTTTAATGTGAAATTAGACCCATAAGAACCTATTATAAGTTTGTTAATTGAAACTCTTAAAGAAATATCTAGAATCATTATAGGTTAGTAAAACAGGCCTGAAAAGGAAAAACCTGTTAAAAACTTTATCACAGAAAATTATAGTAATTTTAATACCTGTTTCAAGCTAAAATCTTAATGTCAAGTTGGATAGACTTGGCTTTGACAATAAGTCTAGTAATGAGTGCATTGAATGTAACAACTTTCCCATTGTTAATTTGTTAAAAAAAAAACTTTAACATTTAGTGAACTGTTATAGTTGATTTTGAAATTTCTTTGAAAATAAGTTTTGATTTTTAATAGATCAAGTTTTGTTTGTAGACAAGCTTATGATGTCCTTTTTTTTTCATTCTCAGAAGAATCAAGTTAAAAACCTGCTATGTAAATTGTGTTTATGGGTTTCTGTATTTTAACTATATGTATGAAAGGAAATCTGCTAAAATCCCTCATCTTTTCTAATAACTAGATTCTCATTTTTTAAAAACAGTGGGATAACTTTGACAATACATTATAACTAGATTGAACAAGACTTGCATGAATACAGTTTAGTATCTTTATGTGCATACTATTTTTTTAGAGCTTTCAAATGTCACTATCATTTTGACTTGCTTGTTTCCAGCAAGGTTACTGTATGTATATAGTTTGTTACGTATTAGAATTTCAAATGGTCTGAAATTGAGTTAATTGATAAATTTAAATTTAGTAGTTAAATTGTACTTTGGATTTAGTAGTTAAGTAAAAGCCGATATATAGTCAGTTT